ATTAAAATGAATAAATAAAATTAGCAATTAAAATCAACTATAAAAGCTTAGATAAAAAGAATATTTTAAGGGTCTTTTAAAAGCCTAAGGCGTTAGGCCCCTCAGCTCTACAATTTAAAGAGAAGAGTCAGCAACAGAAAAAGTTTTATCCCATATCACCACTAGATAAGCTTGCAGCAACTGTAGATGAAGCTCTGTAGAGAGTATCTACATGGAGATATTCTTGCAAATAGACTGGTCATAAGCTAAGTATGCCTTTAACTAGTAAAGACAAGCACTTTGTATTTTGCTTAGAAATGAATTGGCAGCCAGTGTAGTGCTTTAAACATAGTTGTAATGTAGTCTCTTTGTCTTGTTCCCAGGATTAGTCTAGCTGCCGAGTTTGTGCCAAGTTTGACACTTCCAGTTGAAGTTTCCAGACTACATACAAAGGCCGCCTCAAATAGAGCATATACTGTTATTGTCAATATTATCAGTTCAGTTATGGTCATTTTCTTCCAGAAAGGGATGTATTTGGCATATCAACCAAAGCTTTTAAAGGTGTTTCTGATCTGGAAAATCAGAGAGAGACTTGGGTCCAGAAGCAATCCCAAACTCCCCATTAATTGAATCCTATTCAGAACAGGCAGATCTGATCACCTCTCTAGAATTATAGCCCCTCACAATGAGTATCTCTATCTTGTCCAGATTCTCTTATACCTCACCCAGCCCATTAATGACTGCTGGCAAGCATTCCAGGAGCCACACTATTTCCTGAACATGCCACAGAATAATAACACTTGGTTTAGATATTCTGATATCTCCCCCAGCAATTTCACGTAGATAGTGAAAACCAGTGGAGACAGAGTAGAGCCTCAAGGAACATATATTTTGAGGAGCATTTGTCTCCATGCGATACCATATGAAATCTGTCTGAAGTTAGGAACGGAACTGCTGCAGAATTTTACTTCTTGTTCCTAAATTAGTCAGCCAGTCCAGAAGGTTACCATAGTTGATGCTATTTAAAGCACTGAGATGTGAAGATAACCAACAGAGTCACATTCCGTACATTAGTTCCCAAATGTCATCCATTAGGTTATTAAGCAGTGTCCTGCCCTGATACAGTTTGAAATAGGTCAAGATAATCTGCTTCCAGTAACATCCTAGCTAGAAGTTACAAGCTAAATTAGGCCAGGTCACATCTGTAGTGTCATAAATTGAAATTAATCCAGTCTAACTATAGAAAAAGGAATCACTAGACACCCCCATATGTGACTGTGTACTGTATGTAAAATCCGAATATGACAGATTTTATCCACAAAAAACAAAATGAAAGTATTGCTATAAGTCCCTTAGGTTTCTGTAATAAAACTCTGGGATAAGTAGGCAGAATATGAGTCAACACCCTCATAATCTGTAACAGTTCAGCAGACCATAAGCTTTTGAATGTGAAACATGCAGGAAAAAACTGCTTCTGTGCTGCATGTTTTGCCACAGTGTAGGCTTCCAAATGGATTTTATTGTTGTGTTGTATCTGATTTGAATCAGGTGTTCCTCCACTTGTGTTCTAGTGTCTACTTTGCCACTTTAGCTGTTGCAATTGATCTGTATACCACAGGGCCACCTTTGCAGCAGGTTAGAAAGGGCACTTAGGGGCTATTATGTTAACTCCTTATCCCGATACCATTGGCAGAAACACTGATGGAACCACTCCAAACCCTTCTAAGTCCTCTTAGAAGATTAGTGTAATATCAGGAGACTCAGGTTAAATCCTCAGCCATGAAAACTTTCTGGATGATTTTGTACCAGTTATTCTTTTTCAATACAATCCAACTCACGAGGTTATTGTGGAGAAAAATTGGAGGGTGGAGTTCTGTGTATCTCATTTTAAACTTCTGGAAGAATTATGGGATAGAAATCTAATAAATTAATGAATAAATAAATAACTGGATCCATAAACTTTTGGTTGGATAATAACTAATAAGTTCACTACCCCTGAAGTGTAGTCACTACTCCCGTCTTAACTAGTTGGTGACTGTTCATGAGAGTGGGGAAACCTAAATTGCCTCACTCATGAAATACCTCCCTGATCAGAACAAAGTAACAAATTGGGCATGTGATCAGTTAGGATAGGTTATAGTTCTCTTGGCTGCTGTGAACTCCTAAGCCATTCCAAATAAATCGTCCCCCAGATGATTATTGAAATTCCCAGTAAATAAACCTAGGAGCTCCATCTCTGAGATCAACCATATCAGCTCAGTCAATCATTTCATTAGGCAGCAGGTTTGGGAGCGCAAAAACATGAATTCTCATTCTTTCCATGGTCACTGTACATGTTCTCAATATGAACCAGTTTTCTGACAAGTATTCAGTATTTACAGATACTATTCTTATGGGCAACAGCCACATCACACGTTTTCCCATCTTCTTGCTTGTTCTACTGTAGAATATCCTGCTGAGAGAAACTGGCCCCATATTGTTCGCCAGCATCCACCAGCTAGGTCTCTGTTATGAGTCAAGCTGGATGAACTTTGAGTGATCTTGGATGATCTCCCTTTTATATTATACCAACCTGGCATTACAACATAGCACAGGTGGCAAGAAACCTGGAAAGAAGCATTTCAGATAATTCAAAGAGACTCTGTTTTAATTAACTCACTATAAATTAACTCACGGTCACTCATGCCCTAGTCACCTCCTGGTTGGATTTCTGCAATGCGTTCTACATGGGGCTACCCTTGAAGAGTATCTGGAAGCTACAGCTGGCACAAAATGCAGCAGTGCAGACCGTTTTGAATGCCCCGAGGGGGGCACATATAACACCTCTGTTACATGAGCTGCATTGGTTGCCGGTTTGCTTTCAGGTCCAGTTCAAGGTGTTGGTTATTACCGTTAAAGTCCTTCATGGCACAGGACCAGGTTATCTGAGGAGCTGTCTTGCCCCTGTTATATCAGTCCACCCCACTTGGTCCAGCAGAAGGGGCATGTTGCGGACCCCACCAAGCAAGGAATTTTGGCTGTCAGGGTCTAGGAAGATGGCCTTTTCTGCCATGGCCCCCACCCTGTGGAACAACCTAGCACCTGAGGTGTGTGCCCCCACACTCAGGGCCTTCAGAAAGAGTGTGAAATTTTGGCTATGCCAAAGGGCCTGGGGGCCTCATGGGGGCTTGCATTGTTGGAATTGGCTGGTGGGGTAATTGATTCTGCCCCCCTGTCATCTTGAATTATATAGTCTTTTTATGTATATAGTCTTTTTATATAGTATTATTTTTTAGGTAATTTAATACAGATATTTATTTTTACTGTCTTTAATGTTTGATTTTAATTGTGAGCCATCCAGAGTCACCCTCTGGGGGAGATGGGTAGCATAGAAATTTAATAAATAAATAAATAAATGAGGAAATGAGAGGAAAATTCATCTTATAGTTTCCAGGGTTCTAATTTATCCCCAAATAGCATTAAAGATACTTTACTGGAACCTGTATATAGTAGTTCTTGCATCCCTGCATGGGGCTTAACACTGACTAAGACTGAGCAAGTTGTGTAGTTCAAGCAGGAGAGGAGCAGAGCCTGGATGTAAAAGCCTGGAAGTATTTCTCTTTCCTGCTGTTCTGGGATTTCCTACTGCAGCTTCTACTTTCTTCTGCTCGCTTAATGGTTATATATATATATTTTTCTAAGAGGTTATCTTTGCCTATACAAATGTCGATTTGGATATAAGGGATGCTTAAAATGTTTAAATTTCTCCTCTAGTTTTTTTTTAAAAGAGTACGGTGTTTGTAGCAATGAGTGGAATAAAATTGGGCAAAAATTAAAAGATTTTTTTTTA